ACTTTTTTTTTCAAAAATTCACTATTCTAAACAATATTTTTTACAAAAAAAGGCCGCCGAACGAGGACTATAATTTCATTATAATTTATATATCAAATTTTATTTTCAATGATATATTTTTAGAATATAAATAATGAAACGAACGATTTGGTGTAATTCTTCTCTGGTTGTCATATAACTTTACTCTTTAATAGTTGGTCTCACATGGTGACTTAACAGGATTTGGTTTGGGGGAAAAATTGAGAGAGAGAGATAGATGGGTTTATAGTTTATTAGGAGTAAATTGCCTATTTAGTCACTGAACTTTCGATCATGCACCCAAGGAGTCACTGAACTTTCAGTCATGCACGCAAATGGTCACTGAACTTTCAAAAATACACGCAAGGGGTCACTAAACTTTCGTCCACGTCATTGACCCCTCGCCACGTCAGCTGTCACGTGGAAATTCCGTCCAATTTATAAACGGCCGTTTGTTCAGTGACTTTTGGGATGATGAATTGTAAAGTTCAGTGACTAGTTGCATTATTTTGAAAGTTTAGTGACCCCTTGCTTGTATGGCTGAAAGTTTAGTGACTAAATAGGCAATTCACTCATTATTTGACAATAGACAACTTTAATTCCCCCAACCAACCAACCAACCAACCAAAAAAAGTAATTTATTTTTAAACTTACAAATAGAAGTGGCAAAAAAACTCGTCGGCTCGAAAAAAGCTTGAACCGAGCCCAACTCGGGCTTGGTGGAATCGAGCCTAGGCTCGGGCCGGCACATAATTAATTAAAAAAATTAAAAATAAAAATAAAAATTTAAAGCTGCCTGTTCAAAGCAGACAGCTAAAATAGCTTAAAAAAATAAAAAATCGAGCCGACTCAACTCGGCTCAGTCCGCTAAGGCTCAGGCCAAAGCTGGAGTCGAGCCCGAGTTTGTTTTTTTCAACTCGGCTCAGCTCGTTGACTTAACTACTTACAATCTTGTACTTTGTACGACAAGCTCCACTTAATGGTCACAGCAGAGCCTTTTCTCTCCACTGACAGTCTGAACCACACAAATTGCAATCCCAAACCTAACTCCGCCCCTCCACTTGCTCTCTCGAACCGCCACACGGCTGAGATGAACGAAGGCGGCAACATGAACGGGATGGGCGGCGGCCACATGAATGGAATGGATGGCGGCATGGGTATGGCGCCACCGCCGGGTGTCTTCAACCCCCGCCACATGATGATGCACATGACCTTCTTTTGGGGAAAAAACACCGAGATATTGTTCAGCGGCTGGCCGGGAAACAACAACTCCGGCATGTACGCTCTCGCCCTGGTGGTGGTGTTTCTCCTGGCGGTTATCGTCGAGTGGCTCTCGCACTGTAATTACATCAAAGAAAGCTCCAATCGCATAGTGGCGGGGCTGCTTCAAACCCTAATGTACGCTATAAGGGTTGGTTTGGCCTACATGGTGATGCTGGCCGTCATGTCTTTCAACGCCGGCGTTTTTCTGGTTGCAATCGCCGGCCACACCGTGGGATTCTTCATATTTGGTAGTAGAGTTTTCAAGAAACCATTGCCGCAGGCTGGTTACGTGAAAGCCTCGGATCTTCCTCCGATGAGTTGCTGATGGTCCGAATCATAGCATACGGGTTGTGATAATTGTGTCTATTAATGAAATTTTGCAATTCTAAGATTAGGGTTTATGACTTCGTAGATAAGCTCCAATGACCCCTTGAGAAAAAAATTCTTCAATTTCCTCTGCAATCAATAAATTTGGATTGAATTATGGTAGTTTATACAGAATTATGATAATAAAGTATTCAGAAGATATTGTATAATTGTTCGATTTTTCACAATTTTCTTCATTCCTATGCGGTGTGAATAGAAAAAAGTTATTGGCCAATTTTTTCCACCAAATTCCATTTCCACTGATGGCATTTTCTTGCTCTGCCATTTTCTTGGTTTTCCACCTTTTAGTGGTTTTTTGTTTTCAATCTTTTTTTTTTGGCAATTGAAAAAAATTCCAGAAAATTTATCACTTTTATTGACAATTTTCATGTAAAATAAAGTGAAACGAATGATATTTGGTATGGTAACTTTTTAAATTTTTTTTTTTTTTTCATTTTTTGCAATGAGAACAAATTTTAGACATAATGGTAAAAAAATTATTACTTTAATGGACAATTTCATGAAAAACGAAGTCAAACAGACATCAAATTTTCAACATTTTCTATATGTAAATTATATCAATCAAACACAATTAGTTACAATTCTCATTAAACCAAATTCTAAGCAATTCAATTCTCTATAATTCATTTTCTTTCCATCTAAATTTCACATTTGCAATTAAACGGACCCTTAGTGATGATGAATTTAACTTTTTTTTTTTTTAATTAAAGTCAGAAGTAGAATCCCATATTTTTCAGAAAATCTATTAATTACTTCAAAGCAATTAGAAATTGATTCTTTAATTAAAGAGAATTTCGATAAGACATAGGATATTTATTCAAAAGTTTTTGCGAGCCTATGACATCAATGAGGGAAAATTTAATTATGCAATATGCTAACAGCTAGCTAGATGAGGGGTTTGAATAGGGATGACAATTCGAAATGTGAAAACTGAAAATCGCGATTAACCGAACCGAATGGGGTAAAAAAAATCGAACTGATGATGCAATGAGGTGGTTATGATTTTGATTTTAATGACCCGATTCTTGGTCGTGCAGGTATGGTATTTAACAACGATGCCCAGCCCCGAACCGAGACCCGTTAAAAAAAATAAATTTAATTGGACAATTTTAATTTTTTTTTTTGTTGGACAAACCCGATTAAAAAATTGAGTCCATTACCCATAAATCCAACCCAATTCATTTATACCCAACCCATATATCAAATCATTCACCACGTTAAAATTGAAATTTTGAAATCCTCATTTCAAAGCAGTCAATTGCCGATTCCTGATTCCATTGCGTCTCTGTGCGAATCTAAAATCGGTCCTAACCGATTTTCGCCTCCAAACCCGAAATCCTCATTTTCGTATAGATTTCAACCTGAATCGGTGTTAATAGATTTTTGCCTCCAAATCACTGGAAAATCATTTACCTTACCTGTAGTGTTCTCACCGGAGGTAAAATCTAATTACATAACATTTTTTTCTATTAGATTTTGGAGATTTCTTATTCGAAATGCACCAATATGTTGATATATATTATGTTTACTGAAGACTGCATGTTTTAACATGAGGATTAGACATTCTAAGATTTGTTTATGACTGTCGGTTTATTTTTATGCTAGGGTTTTTTTTAATGTTTAATTAGAGATATGACCGTCTTTTTGTATTTATTTTTAAGAAAAAATGGTTAAATGAATAGTTAAGACGTATATTAAGTATATTTGGTTGTTGATTAGAAACTCAGCTCAAGCAGAGCAGAAGAGTTGAACTTTATAGTCAAAACTTTTGTTTGATGTTAAGTTTATCTTGAACTTAAGTTTTCTTTCGTATAATCTGCTGCATTTTCCTTGGTGATGAGATCGATTAACTATGAGTTTTATTGAGCACATGTTAAGCTATACCCTATAGGTTTCGAGTTGATAGATTTTATTGCACTGGCCATTGGATTTTTGAGGTGTGTTGCAAGCTATTTAAACTTGCATTTGAAATGGGGCGAAAATTTTGGCATTTGCAAGGAATATGTTTTCTACAACCTGAACGAATGGATTCAAAGTTTGCCTTCCTTTTTTACTTCCTGGGTCGATGTGTATGGGATTTTTAGAGGGGAGATAAGAAAATTAATTTTTACTTTGTGATTCTCCCCAATGCCTACTTGTTGAAACAAGAAACTATTCCATATTCCCCTACACCTTTACTTTCTCTATTTGGATTTTTTTGACATTATATATTATTTAATAAAAATGTATTGATTGTTGAAAGAAGAGAATTGCATATAGATTTATTTAATAAAAATGTATTGATTGGTGGCCCAGATATCTTGCCATGGGTCGACGTCTTCTGTTTCGACTCCTACCGCTTCAGTTGGAAGTGCTTCAATTGAAGTTGGAGATACCGCTATTGGCATTCAAGAAGATACATCAAGTACACTGGGTACTTCACAAAATCCAAGTGAGTTAAATGCAAATCCTACTTATATAGATTTAGGTGATGATGAGCCGATTGAGGAAATTAGAAAAAGGCCTCTACAGTGTGGCATCATTTCAAGCTACAAAGAATTAATAATGTGCCCAAAGCAATTTGTAAACAATGCAAGAAACAGTTAGGTGGTAAGTCAAAAAATGGGACAAGTCATTTACGTGTTGATTTGGATAGATGTCCCATTCGAGGCCAGAAGGATGTCAAACAGATATTTTTGAATCAATTTTGAGTATAGTATGGTTATATTATTACTCTAATTACATTTCTTATTTACTATATAGGAATCAACTTTGAGCATTGACTCTTTGACCATACTAGTAAGAATTGTGGGGAAGAATGAAGATTGACTTATGCTAGTAAGAGTCTTGACCTATGCTGATGATGTTGTTTGTTAAATTCGAATGTTGCATTTGGAAGTTGGGATATTGTTTGCATTTTCATTTGAGATATTGTTTGCTAAATTGACTTAATATTATTTTTTGTTTTTATTGACTTTTCTTCATAATTTTTTTTT